GTATATTGAAGAATTTTGCAAACCAAAAATAATATCCTCAGAATGCAAAGAAAAATAGCTGAAAGTAAAAGAAATCAATATAAACAGTATTTTATTCGTTTTGTGTCCGATAATGGAGAAAATTAATACTCCAAATGCATGCCAAGGCTTAAAGCAGCAACAATGCTACACATGTAAGTAAAAATAATTAAGTATCTGAACGAAGAATTCTAGTCTCTTCCCAAATTTGATTGTCCTGACTGTTAGGCCTAATTAATTTTAGAATGTTTTAAAGTATTGCAATTGTGATGTATTTTAATATGTGATATGATGAGGCTGTTAACGAACTGTGGTTGTTTTTTAAATTGATGAAATTTTTTTTAACTATCTGTTATTTTAGAAAAACTGATGGTGGTGGAAAAATACACCGAAACGTATTTTGATTAATAAATAGAGACAATAAATGACTGAAACCCAGGAATAGAAACACAGTCAGGAAAGTATGTAAGATTATTGCTAATACCCACTAAGCCGGCCTTTATATGGATTTTGGATTGGCTTAAGAGTTTATAAATCCTAAATACCTGATAAACTTTCCAGGTAATGAAACAAATCCGTCCGGGCAACTACGAGTACCAAGGAGAATCCCAGTTTTTGAACGCCTGCTACGAGAAAGGTGAACGCCAATTTTGGAGAAAATCCCGAGTTTAGTAGCATCGGGCTTTTTCAGGTGGATGTCGGCACGTATCCTACACCTGCATTTGCGGCTCCGGGCCGAATGGGGCCATTCTCCATTACGGGCATGCGGGCGCCCCAAATGACTCCCCCATCAAAAATGGGGACATGTGTTTGTTCGACATGGGCGCCAACTACTTTGGATATGCTGCCGATATCACATGCTCTTTTCCAGGTACTGTTTGGTGCGCTTGCATCGGCTGTTTTTATGGATTGTCAATTTTCTTCCAGCTAACGGCAAATTTACCGCGGACCAAAAGCTGATCTACGAAGCAGTTCTAAGGGCAACACTCGCCGTCCACTCAGCAGCAAAACCCGGAGTTTCTTGGGTGGACATGCACGTCTTAGCCAACCGAGTCGTGTTGGAGGATTTAAAAAAGGGCGGCCTTCTAAAGGGGAGCGTCGATGAGATGCTGGAAGCAGGCCTGAGCGCCGTTTTCCAGCCGCACGGTTTGGGGCATTTGCTGGGCCTGGATGTTCACGATGTGGGCGGCTACTTGCCAGGCCAGCCGCAGAGGCCGCAGCAAGTCGGCGTAAATAAACTGCGAACCGCTCGTGTGCTGGAAAAAGGGATGGTTCTCACTGTGGAACCTGGCTGTTATTTCATCGACCCGGTGGGTGATCATGAGCACTAAGTTTGCGTGAATAACAGTTTTTTTATTAGCTTTTGGACAAGGCGCTTGCCGATCCCGCGCTGAAGAAGTTCCTGGTGCCTGAAGCGATTGAAAGATTCCGCAACTTCGGGGGAGTTCGCATAGAAGACGACGTCCTGATTACCGAGCACGGGGTGGAGGATCTGACGAAAGTGCCCCGAACAGTGCAAGACATTGAGGGCTGGATGGACGGGCGGCTGGACGAGTCGCAATTCCGCGACCCGGAGCGACTGTTTGTCTTCTGATTGTCCGGATTGTTATGCAAGCCTTATTCTACTAGATTTATCCTCCTCAAAGCTTTAGGTATCATACTATGTGATAATATGCGCTAATTATATTTTGAAGTAAAGGACATGGTTTGATTGCGGTGTTCCTGCCATTTTCAGCCCCAAAATGCACTGCGATACTATAAAAATGTATTTATTTAAAATAATATAGTACAAAGCATCATCAATCTTTTGACAAAACGATAAAAGTAAAAGGGTAAAACTAAACGGGAAGTTCCACCATTAACGAAACCTAACTAATACACTAATCATAGACTCTAATCAGTACTTTATACAAAAATAGGACATTTTGAAAAAACCAGTTGACCTAAAGTTACAACTTGATAGTCATGTCGAATCTCGCAAAGAATCTGGGCGGTTTTGACCAAAAAAATTAAATAAAATAAAAAAGGCTGAGTGAAATTCAACTGATTTCTTCGGGGAAATTCAATCTAGCTATCTACACTATAATATAGTACCTATCAAAAATAGTATCTATGCGATCTTATAACTGTTTCTAATAACAATGGTTCATCAAATTGCCCACACCAATTGATAAACCCAAATGTGCACTGCAATATTTTTCAAACAAGACGAACTTGGCGCAAAGCGTGTGGACGATTTGACGAGAACCATCTTCGGAAGGCAGGGTTTGTCAAATAAATTACAAATTTGGAATGTGCGCTGTTAGCTTGTACTATGATCAAAAGGGCACTGAGAATTGGCTGAAAGGAAGACCCAACTTTTACGAAGGAAAAATGTCCGTGTCCTCTGCTACTTCGTCAAAGATCTTCAAGAATAATCTGTTTTTTTGACTGATTTGATCAGTTTGCCTGCTTCACGCAAGTGGTGAATTCTTAAGTGTCTTGGCACAAAAACTACCAGAACTTTTAATTTGGCCTCTGGAATCAGGTGATTTTTTCTGAGTTGATGCGCTGCTGCTTTTGGAACATTTTCGGGTTCTTCGCAAAATGTCGCAACATGCATAGCTTTTGCGCAAACAAATGATTTTTGTTCTAAAATTGGCAGTTGAGTTGGCAAACTAATTTATTTTTTGCGCAAAAATAATGAATGCTACAAAATTTTACAAAGAGCACAAAAATCTTCAAAAGGTAGTAGTGCATCAACTCAAATTTTTTCCATCAATAGCAAAACATCCAGACATTTTTTCTTAGCAAAAGTTCGGTCAGATCGTCCTCTTTGGATCCAAAGAATCCCTTCTGATCATGTGCTTAGGGGGAACCCTGCAAACGGTGACAAACTCGTCAAAAAATTGAACCTATTTGTGTGTTAAGCTCTTAGAATTCGCATCACAGACGTTCCTACTTAAATATTTCCAAAAAATAAATTGTTATTGCTCCAAAGTCTATAATACAATAAAATCTACTTGTCAAAATGCGTAAACCTCTCATGTTTCACTATAAGAAAAAACACGCAAAAACGTGCCACTGTAACGTTCTCTGTACATTACACGTTTCCATATAATAGATTTACCCATTTTATTTACAAAAAACTGTAAACAATTAAAGCCCTTTTCCTATACTACAAAAACGGCGTAAAAGGCACTTCTATCTCATCATTTTTGAACATGATTCACACTGCTGATGAACCCGGTTTCTAAGCTAAATAATAAATACGAGTACTTACAATAATTATGCTGTGTCATGTTCGAAGTCTTGTAAAAATTTCCCAAACAAATGGTAAAATAAACAATGGATCGATATAAACAAAAAAATGAGACCATAAAATTTTGACTATATACGAGCAAACCTATAGGTAGGATAAGTGCCGCCTTCACTGTAACAACTTCAATTATATAACGTTAACGTAATATTTCTAAAATGTAAAATCTTCAAATTTGCATCGCGCTTATCGGAACATTCTCACAGTTTCAACACACCACTTCGGAGGGCGAGTTTTCCGAAAAGAAACCCCAAAAAGCCCCATTTCAGCGATGTGCCCTGCGGCTTGCTTCATCTACATACCGTTCATTCGGGCCGGCATATTAATTTCTAAATGTAAATAGCGTCCGAGCCCTTATTTGTTTGATGCCCGCCGATGGTGGACGGAGCAATGTAGGTGGCGGTGTTCGGACTGGCCACATTCTCCGACCAATCGGAGTTGCAGGAGCGAGGCGAGCTGGACGACCAATGTCCAGGACTTTCGGGCGAGGGAGTGGGAAAATTGTCCGGCAGCAGATGATCGCTGTGCTGGGACGGCGGAGTCATGTAGTAGTTCGATTGCTGGAAAAACAACAGCGATCAGCACCATAAAACATAAAAGGATTGGTTTTTGCTGCCGCTTACAGTGTAGCCCTGCGGGGCTTGGCTCTGCCCCGCCTGGGTTTGGCCCTGCACCATCCCTTGGGTCGCATTGCACCCCATGTAGCTGAGGGGCATCTCAATCCCCGTCTGGCTGAAATCGAAGCCCATGGGCAGAGTCTGGGCTTGAGGCACGCCCCCATGCTTCTGCTGGGTTGCGGCCCGCATCGCCGCTATGTGAGTGGGGCTGGTGGGCAGAGATGGGCGCGTTTTGGCCGGCGAAGGGGACCCGTTGTAGCTGCTCAACGAATGAACGAGATTAAGACTTTGCCTGCCCTGAGACTCTGCTGGATGACTCACCCTTGCGGTGACAAAGACATGTTGCTCTGGACCGAATGCGGAGGACTCTGGTTCGAGTAGGGTGGGCTGAGGGTGTTCTGCAACTGCCTCTGCTGCATCATCAAGTCCGGCTGAAAAATCGAGTTTAGCGCCCCGTAGTTGTCGATGCCGAACTGCAGCGTGTTTTTTACCACGTCTTCGTAGCTGGGCGGCTGCTTGTTGGCTGATGGGGGTGCAGGAGATTAACGAAATTGCAAATGCAAACGCCTTACCAAACACTTACCCATCAAGGACTCCAAAGTGAGCCCCATGTTGGAGTAGAGCGTGGTGGTGTCGTAGGGGCTCGGTAGGTTGGTCATTGGCGACTCGACGGGGCTGGACCCAATCGAATCAGCGCTCTGGGGCGGAACCTCGCTCATTTGCTGAGTGCTCTGCACCTGGAAGGAAACCCCAAATGAACTCCGATTTAACAAAGCAGGCTCCCGCCACTTACCTTTTTGCTGTTGTTATTGTTGTTGCGCTTCACGCTGGCCTTGCGCTTAATGCTGCCGCCCAGCGAGGCTTCCGCGCCCTCCTGCGGACTTGTGGGGCCGGCATTTTTGCTGGGCCGCTTCGATTTTTGCCGCTTCGAGACTATCACAGTGGGCTGCTGCAGCATGTGACCTGTGGGCGAAGCTAAAAAGTTATACTTGTTAAAATCGGCGGCCGTTGATTGACTAGAAGTGAATGCGGCTACTTACGATACTTACTGAGCATCTGGTTGTTGGCCACCACGTTCACCATTTGCGGGCTTCGGGGCACATGCTCGTCCAGCAGCCTCACGATATCGTTATGCAATCGCTCGCACGCGATATCTCTGGGTAAACGTTCCATGTGGTCGGTTATGTCTCTATTCGCGTACGCTTCCAACAGCGCTTTGCATGTTTGGTAAGAACCTAGAACAATGCCGATTTATCTTACTAAATATTTATAGTGGCAAGTGATGCAACGCTGATTAACTACAGATACATTTGGGGTAGCCGGGGATGAATCAGTTGAAGACTGATGTGCAGCTTGCTTGATTTAGATAAGTTCTATATTGTTGAGGCGGATTCATTTTTTTGCAAACTTCTTGTTGGGTATTTCGCCTCAAAAATTTTTGCCTTTAAAAAAGACAGAATTTCCTCACGTTTTTTTATTACAGATTGATAAATAGTGCTTCTATTTCGCAATAAGAACGAATTATTTATCAAAAAGTAATCAAGAACTATCACCTAGAGGGTATCCT